GTCTAAACGTACAGAAGGTTTAGCAATAAATAATCCTTTATGTTGGAGGGGGTGTGGGATCAAGGGAACAATGGCACATATATGGTAAGAATGTCTTAACGTACAGAAGGTTTAGCAATAAATAATCCAATATATTCAGGAGATACTGGTGATCACCATACAGAAGGACCCGTGGGTTTGTTTATTTCATAAATCTGAGACTTCAGTGAAACAATATAAAAATAGGGTATTATGTAATCTAATTAATGCAGCCAAAGTACTTATTCTCAAATTCTGGCAAGTCCAAGAGCCCCCAAAAATAAAGGATTGGATAAATAGATTTGAATAGTTGAATATATAATTAAGATGGAGGAATTATATCATATGAAGGAAGATAAAATCGAAAAATTCAAGTGTGGATTAGATGGTGTGACTTTAAAACATTCAAAAGATATTTGGAAGTGGTCGGAGTATAAAGTGCTAAGATTATGGGAGAGTTTAATTGAATAGCAGTGTCTCGCATGAAGGAAAGAGGGAGGGGAGAGGAAGGGAATAGGTACATTTATGTGAAAAATTTGTATTTTTGAATTGTTTGATACAATGTTGATTTTTGTAGTAAAAAAAATTAATAAAAGATATAATAGAAAGCAAAAAAAGAACCCTTAGCCAACAAGAATCGAAACGGATCTTCACTCTCAATACTCTTGTTCCACATGGACTGAATGTACAATTTCATCTCAACTGCTTCATAGGTAATTATTAAATTAGGTTGTTAGCATACAGGCTCATATACACCTATCTACATCAGGCTATCATTCCACATTGACATTTACTATGATTTTAATTACATTTATTATAGTAATAATACATATTCATTTACACATTAAAAAAAACATTAAGTAATAAGTTGCTTCTATATTTCAATACGAATTCTGAAGTGCAGCTGTTCTAAATATTTAGTTCACACCGTTTCAGCTGGACAAACTGAGCTTGCGCCAAAGTGAGAGGGGTGTGGAGGAGTGTAGTGGCAGGATAACCTAGATAAATGTCATATTGTTTAATAAGAGAAAAAATATAGAACATTATCAAACTATCAATATCCTAATGCTTGCTAAACAAATCAGCTGTATTAAAATAGGGAGAAGCACTGTTAGGTGATTTTCTTCTAGACACTTTGAATTTGAAAATGTCTAAAAGCAACCAACCACTAACATTTTAGATAATTTTGCAATGTTGATAAAAAAAAACAACCTTTGGTTTCATTCATCTTTTTAGTCTTGTGAAGGAAGCTAGTTGAAAGCTATTGAAATCAATGGATATTTGCCATGTACAGTATATGCTTTTTTAGTTCTTCTTTTGCAGCAATCAAATACATACCATTTTTAAACTTTGTTGGTTTTTCTCCAGGTTTTTTTGCCAGTATTTATAATAAAACCAAACATATTTTATTACTTTATTTACTTTATATTTAATTATAAAATAATGTAAAATGTTGTGGTAACTCTAGCATTTGCCTGGTCTTCTATGGTTTATATTCAAATTCCTTAGGTCTTATGGAGACTAAGCCATGTTTACTTGCAATAAAGATAACAATATGATATTTGTGTGTGTTTTAAGTAGATATACTGTACATGTGCACCTTTTACAACCTATATCGAAATACTACATTAATTGCCTCTATTTGGCTTTATTAAAAATATATTTATTTATGTTTGAAGTGGCTGAGCATTATTATCTTGCTGTAGATTCCTCAGAATAGCACATGTTCTCCTTTCTCTTAGTTTTTTTTGTTTTTGCAATTTATTAGGCAAAAAAACTGTAGCCAAAAAGAAGAAATGCTTAAACTCAGGAATAGTAGTTAAATACTTTTGTAAGCTTATTATTTTGTTCCATAGTTAACATATACAGTTACAGATTGTGTTCTATGGTGAATATATTTATTGCAATAAACCACCATTCAGAATATTTAGATTATAAAACATGTATTTGTAGATGATTATTTGGTATTAGTTTCCATGTCTGCATTTAACCACTCAGCATCCACACTCTGTTTAAGGATCCCCATTTTTTGGGAACATTAAAGTGATTGTAAAGGCTCAAGGTTTTTTACCTTCATGCATTCTATGCATGAAGGTAACAAAACCTTCTGTGTGCAGCAGTGTCCCCAGCCCCTACAATAATCACCTGAGTCTCATTGCAATCCATCGATGTGCACAACAGCCTCAGCTGTCCTGGGTCTCTGCCTCCTCATTGGCTGAGACAGCAAGCAGGAGCCATTGACTCAATTTCTGCTGTCAATCACAACTAGTCAGCCAATGAGAAGAGGGGGGGGTGGGGCCAAACCATGGCTCTGTGTCTGAATGGAAACATGGAGCAGTGCTTGGAACAGCCTGCTTGGATGCCCCCATAGCAAGCTGCTTGCTATGGGGGCACCCAACAAAAAAGAGGATCCAGGAGCACCAGTGAGGGACCCGAGAGGAAGAGGATCCAGGCTGCTCTGTGCAAAACCACTGAACACAGCAGGTAAGTATAACATGCTTGTTACTTTAAAAAAAAATAAAATGAACCTTTAGAATTGCTTTAAGCTATGTTCCACATATGACAGATAGCAACACATACAGTAGTCATCAGACTGGACTGGACAGTTCCAATTCCTACTAAAAATGGCGCTGCCATTTGCAACCAATGCTGTCAATCACCAGGTCCCAGCCGGTGATTACCTGCCGGCGCCCGGTCATTACTGAGCATCTCCGAGAGGGAGGAGGACTGTTTTGTTTACTCCTCCCTGTCAGCTCAGGCACACTGCTCTGCATGGCTGTTAGTGCTTTTTTTTAGCACTGATCACTGTATTGGTGTCACTGGGGATGTCAGTGACACAAAGTCAGTTACCCACAGTGTCAGAATGTCCTCTATAAGTTGCTAATTGCACCAATTACTAGTAGAAAAAAAAATCCAATATCTATACCGCCATTTGTAAACGCTATATCTTTCACATAAACCAATTGATTTACATGTATTGAGATTTTTTTTTTTTTCAGCAAAGACATGTAGCAGAATACATTTATGCGTAAATATATGACAAAATTTGAATTTTTAAATTTTTTTTACTTGACATGTTTAATAGCAAAAAGTCAAAAATATAGTTTTTTTCTCAAAATTGTCAGTCTTTTTGTTTTATGGCGCAAAAAATAACATACGCACAGATGATCAAATACCACAGAAAGAAAGCTCAATTTGTGGGAAAAAAGGATGTAAATTTCATTTGGGTGCAGCATTGCATAACCGCTCAATTGTCAGTTAAAATAACACAGCGCCATAACACAAAAAATGGCCTGGTCAGGAAGGGGGGTAAATCCTCTGGTTAATGCAAGATTAAACAATGGTTTAAAATCAGTGTAGCAAAATAAACCTTATAGGTCCTTAAAAAACAAAGAAAAATGATTTGGTAGGCAAACTAAGCACGTTAGTGTCTAATACTGGCTCTGGCATTGCTAAATTCAGTCTGGGCATTTACAAATCAATGATCTTTGGCCATGAATGGGTTTAATTTACAATTAAAATTCAGTTTATTTTACCTATTTTTGGTGCTCACAATTTATGTGTTCTTTTTCTTACTTTTTCCCTGCTGTTAAGTCCTCATGGACTGATAAGTATTGATGTTTATATCTCCTGCATGTGCACTATAAACTTTAACTTTTGACATTGGCTTACCGTACTAATCATTATTACAACTGGGCTGAAATGTATGTAATGATCTGAGAAGAGTGAATGTGTTTCTTCTCTATCATGGCTACCCTTGCTTGGAGTTGCTGTTTTTATAAATAGAGCTTAAGTTGATTTGCACTGGATCCCATTGGTCTTCCAAGCTGTGTAGCATCACTTTTGACCAGCTAATACCAAGGGTTGTAGTATTTCTGAACAATATATTCACCTATGATTGCACTTTACTATAAGAGGTACCACATCTATTTCTGGTGGAGTTCTATCTGATTTGGCTCCTCGAGTATATACCAGTGTTTATACTGCAGCCCATCTCCTGTGACCTTATATTGGATGTTCCGAACTTTTGTGTAACGCCTTCTGGAACTTTGTGCACTGTGACAGGACTTTGATAGGCTTACAGTATAGACTGTTTGAAAATTATTTTCTACATCCTTCATTGAAACTATATATTGTATGGATGTCATATTGTTTCAGCAGATTTAATGATTCACCTATTATATTATTTGATATTACTATATATGGGGTAGTGTGGAGCCCTTTTGTTACTATTATTCCATGGCCAAGGATTTTACCACGAGTTGTATATTTTAATTGCCTTCTAATAAAATATTTGATATTAGGTTTCCTTAACTGTCGTGTGATGATAATTTAGGATTACTAGTGGGGTAGAACTCTGAGTCTGAGGGTTTTTATTTATAGTGTAGAATATTCCCTTTAGTGAATGTGATGAAAATTCACTTTTAAAATAATACTCAATCACATAAAAAATAGTATTTTTGCATCCACATAATATGATGATTGTAGTCAGCAGAGCTTCACCTCATTCACTAAGCTAAGTGAAAAGTGGATACTCTAATGCTCTTTAGCCTTGCAAAGTAGATAGTCTATTTAATTAAAGCTGAAGTTTAGATCAATATGAGTATGCAAGTGTCCCACTAAGAAGACCCCAATGAGAGCTGTAAATAAGTGTAGTAGGTACAGCTACTACAGTGATCACCACTAGCTTCCAGGTCCTGTGCCAAGCAGCTGTCCTACAGCTTACTAAACCCAGAAGGTCACTTACTCAGCATGAGCACCATTCAGCAATCACTTTGCATTGTCTTCTTGATTGTGATTGTGATGATGTATTCCACCAACACTGTATTGTATAGCATTTAGAAAATATTCTGAAATGTCATTCTCTGACTCTTGTGTTTTTAGATAAGGTCAAATGCTTCCATCGTCTATCAGGTAATCTGAATGCATAATTTTTTGCAAACAATTATGACTGTTAGCAAGAAGGAGTGTGTAGGTTTACCTTTGATTGTGCCTTCTGGTTCTTTTTCATGTATTTTCACTGGTGTTTCTAAGAAAAGATGATAATACATATTTATGCAGTAATTGGAGTACATAGTGTGCAGTTATTCATAGATCTAGCTAGCTACTATAGTTACTGTATTATTTTTGCTTATACATTAATTACCAGGCCAGTTGAGTCTCCAAGCCATTTTCTCCCTACAGTATATCATCTTGAACATTTTTAATGTTTTATTTATGTATTTATTTGTTTCAGGTACTTACATAAAGCCGTCAATTTACGCAGCGCTTTACACACACACATATATATATATATATATAGTACATTCACATCAGTCCCTAGCCCTCAAGGGGTGTACAATCTAAAGTCCCTAACTTACATTCATTCATACACATACTAGGGCTAATTTAGCCAGGACAGGATCCAATTAACCTAACAGCATGTCTTTGGAGTGTTTTAGTGATTTCTCAGTGCTTTATTGTTTTTACTATTTTCTTTCCTCACGGGGATGTCTGGATTTGCTCAATGGAGACCTGACCCAGATTCACCCAAACATCTCTGCAGCAACAGATAACTTCTATTAGTGATATGATGTTAGATGCAATCAGCTAGGAATAGATGACTGTAGCATTGGTCTACAGCAGCTTTGCCTAAGTCTCCATACTTCCAGAAAGTTATGTTACTGAAAAGATGCCAGTACACTCCTGTTATAACACAATGTGGATGCATTGTGTTTACTATCTCTTCTACAGTGTGCTTCTATGATGTGATCTGCAAAAGCATCAGAAGCACAGGAGCTGATCATTTCAGTTTTTGTGGGCTTAACACTGGACACCAGCTTTCACTGAAAGCACTTAAAATGACTCATGCAGAAAAAACCTTCACTATAACTGAATTCCCCTCAAACTTGCCCAGTGTGGATATCAGTTTCTTTGACTTTGGTAAGAACATTAGGGTCTAAGTTGCTTCTGGTTCAGAAACTAACTGAATAAACTACTGTATGTATCCAAAAGGGGGCTAAAACTGTCTGCCCTATATAAGTGAAAAGGAAAATGTATTTAAAATGTAACCTCTTTGGTCCTGACAGTTCCTTTTTTAGATATTGAAATGCATTATAACTTTTTTTTTTCTTAGATTTATTTTGTAGCAGACCATCTACAGACTCATTTACTAAAGAAGTAAAACTGGCCACAAGTTCAATTCAGCTTTCATTACCAGAAATATAGTGGGAGGAGTTCAGTTATTTTCCTTCCACTTAGGTTGGCCCTACATAGGTTTTGGTAAATTTTTGCCCTAATCTATATTCACTTCAAATATTCAATCAAAATCAAGGCAATTATATGAGATAAAAAATTATATCTGATCCAAATTAGGCATTTGAAGAGAATACAGGCAAGTGTAAAATAACATTAATAAATCAGGCCCTTATCTGTGGGATTATTTACCAGTCATCTAAATGCCACAAAAACATTTGGCATTGACAATGTATTCAATATAGTAGTGTTGCCATTTTACCTTACATCTTGCACACTATAATTATGATTATATCAGATAGAGACCTATAGGTACCCACATACAAATTATCTGTGTTCTCAGAATGCTGACATGGTCAGGCAATGGAGTTAATTTACTAAAGGAGTAAACATTTTTAATTAGTCTTAGTGAAGAAATCAAGGCTACATTGAATTTATATATGCAATGCCCGTTCAAAGAAATGCAAAAAAAAATTATTTGCTTTAACCTCCTCGGCGGTATGATTCTTTCTGATTTTTTGTGCTGAAACCGGTACCATTTTTTTTTGCATGGAAATATGTAGTTTTTTATTGTAGGCTGTAATTTTTAGGAATAACTCACTGAAATCTGTCAGAACAAGAGTCTAGTAAACATCCCGGATATGATAAACTTGAAACACAAAATCATAAATTATAATTTAATAAATAATCATAAAAAATAATAATATAATAATAATAATAAATTTAATTCAATAATATAATCAAACCAAAAACACTGAAATAAAGAGGCAAATTCGCACATCGCTGAGCAAAGCCGCAAAATCGTTTTCAGTGTCTGATGACGAATTTCCCCACGAATCATTATCACTCAATTCTGCAAGTGGTTCTGATTTACTATCGCTGTTCTAAAACCGCTTTTGACATAAAGGGACGCTTTTTGGACGCCATGGACTTTTCTAAGTTTCCAGGCAGAAAGAACAGTCAAAATGCAGGCAGGACACAGGACAAAGCAGTAGGGACAAAATGTATGTGAAATGCATTGAAACAGCAATGACAGCAAAAATGCCATTTTTTAAAAATTTCGAATTTCCCGCCGTCACAGGGACCGGAACACGGAAGCCGGATGCCGAAGTCACAGGGACCGGAACACGGAAGCCGGATGCCAGCATTGGCCAGAGGAGATGGCCGGGGACGCTGCAGGGGACACATCGTGGGAGCGAAGGACACGGTAAGTGCTGCAGGGACCCCCAGAGCAACGCCGCATGGTAAGCTTGAGTGTAGCTCAGGGTTACCGCTTTTGGTATTGAAATTTTACCCCGAGCTACACTCGGGAATACCGCCAAGGAGGTTAATGAAATAATCAACGCATCACCTTATTTACTAAGCTAAGTAAACATTAACTTTGCTAAGCTGACATTCATTACTCTTCTGGTCTGAAGAAGAGGTACATATTTGTATGTACATGTGACTTTGATAGGTCATGTGGAAGGTCTTTCCTCCTGTTTTTCCTCCATTCATTTGTATTGCACCCTTCTTGCTTCAGACTCCCAAACCATTGTGTCACAAGGCACTTTTACAAAGCATAATCTACTAGTATCACAGTGCAACACAGTCATATATCACCATTAATCACATACACATCAGTGCCATAAACAAATATATGTGCTAGTAAATAATCCAGCATAGGATTCCCAGTGTAACTCATTTTGTGTCATGTGAGTGCAATCATGTGTTTAAATAAATATTGGTGGGAAACGTTAATACACTATGATTGTTTATTCTTTCTGAGCTTTGGAGGAAAATATCTTATATGACTTAAAAGATGGATTGAGTTACACTGGGAATCCTATGCTGGAGAGTGCCTGAGTCTATACCAACCCTGGTTAAATGGAAAAAGCGCTATTTGACCTAATCTATTGTAGGTCAAATATTGGAGGTGAGAGTATATATATGTATTTCTGTAGAGGAAATGCAATGTTGTGGTGATAAGAGCACTGGTTGAATTCAAGAACTGTACAATTTATTGATCAATGGAAGGATAATCATGTATAAATTAGGACACTGCTACACAGCCATCCAAATATATTGAGTTTATTCAAAGGACTCACTACTATTTTATGTATATTATTTTTGGGCATTTTTCATAATTTTTTCGTTTGATTTATGTATGTATTGCACATATTATTTACTAGCACATATATTTATTTATGGCACTTAAGTTTATGCAGTTGATGGCGATATATGAGCGCACTGCACTGTGATACTAGTAGATTGTGATATATACTGTATGTGGGAATTGCATAAAGTGTCAGCGGCAGTCTATTAAGGATAGAATAACTGGCGATACATAATTGTGCTGAGGTTTTTAGTTCCAATATTTCTGTATTTAGATTTTGGAAAAAATATACAATGAGATGACAAGATGTAAGTGGCATTGATACAAACATCTGATACCAGAAAGATGCAAATGACATCATTTTATAAGTGTTGTCATAGGAGACAACACTTGGCTACTAAAAACCAGGTGAAAACATCATAAATACTACAGTATTTGGGGGAAAAAAAGAAACGTTTTGGCTAAATTGTGTCCTATTGAGTGACTTGAGCTTGTCATAAGGACTTGCAAGGTTTATGATATTCATATAGATTATGGTAAAAATGGACACCACTAGCCATTTAAAATACATCAACAATACAAAATGACATATTTAAAAATGGTATTCTATTTTTCTTTACAGCTAGAGGAACGCATTTTAAGTTGAAATAAGATATCCATGTGCTTACCTTTGGTTTCTTTGATCAGTTCTTTCTTAAGCTTTTTCACTGTTGTTTCTAAGAAAGAGAAGATATAGAAATTTATGAAATTCATAAATATTTAAGAAATGGTGTTCATCATTGATTTTTTTAACATGTGAAAGAGTGAAAATAGAGGGTGGTCCTGACTTCAGTGTTGAAGTGATGATGTTATCTGCATCAACACATCATGGAGTTGATTAACTAAAGACAAAAAGGCTGTTCACTTTGCTAGGGAATTATTTTAGTGAATGCAGTGAAAATTCACTTTGTAAAGAGTACCCAATCACAAGCAAGGAAAATTTAAAAAAAATGCATTTTGGCTTGCCTTTGATTGGTTTACGGAAGTCATCCAAGAAACTGAGGAAAAATCCCCTTGCAAAGTGAACATCTCATTTGCTTTTAGTAAATGAACCCTGTGAGTGCACCACACTCAGGGAGCAGAGCCATGACACCCTGCACTCACAGTCTTTCTCAGTCTTTCAGATTCCGTGACACTGACTGACATTAAACTTTGAAGACATTTTGTGATGAAGAAGAAATACATGTGTGTATGTACATGTGTGTATGTACATGTGACTGGTTGTGTGGCAGGACTTTCCTCTTGTCTCTTTTTTCTCAGTTCACTTTTATTGCAGTCCTCTTGCTTCAGACTCCTAGGCCAAGGTATCACAATGCACATTTACAAAGCATATCACTCTGTTTTATAAATGTGCAAATTATGTTTTAATTATATCTAAAGGCAAACATTTTCCTTAGTTTTGTAAAGAGTGAAGAGGGATTAGAACATCTGTTTTTAGTTCCAATATTTCTGTATTAAGATTTTGGAAAATATTCAATGAGATATCAAGATGTAAGTGGTATTGTTACAAACATTGGATACCAGGAAGATGTGAATTACATAATTTGTAAGTGATAGAAAATTATTAATGCTATTAATATAATAATAGGCATACCAACACCAATTTGAGGTAAAGTTGCTACATCATGTTGGAGGGGAGGTTAGGAGGAATGGGGGACAGGGAAATGGAGTAAGCATTTTGAAAGGTGAGGAGAAGGAGGGTGGAGGGAAAGGGAGGTCATCTGTTTTTATTGCTGTTTCCCTGTTCGGAAGATTCATCCTATTTGTCCATGTATGTTTACCATTATCATCGAAAGAGAGAACAAAATAAAATACCAAATTTTGGGTTGACTCCAGAACAGAAATAGAGAGGACATCTTTAAATGTGGAAACTAGTTCTGGTGACCTTGTGACAACCAGGGAGTCCCTCATTTTGGAGGGATTTCAGCTCATGTCCTATTTTATCTGTGAGGCAGGATATGATGGGAAATCTCTCTAGTGGGACACAAATGGCAAAAAAACCTGACAAGGGTTATAACCCTCCCTTACTCTATCCAGACGCAAAACTTATGCCTTTCGTTCTCCTTTATTAACTGCAGTATTTCTATTTCTATTTCTATACTGCTACTTTTTAAATGTACGGTACCTTTTAAATGTAACTTTTAGTTCAAAAGTTGAATCTTTGCATACTTTAATCATCTAAACATTTAACTGCCTCCTGCCCGTCATATAAGGTAATGACAGGCGCAAGGTGGTTCTCTCGTTCTGGGAGGACATCATATGACGTCATCCCATTCTAACCGCGCGCATGCACGGCTCTGGGAGCGTGCAGCGTGGCGATCAGAGGTGCGCTGTGTCCCTCGTACACAGTGGATCACCAATCAACAGAAAGAGCTGAAGATCTCAGTTCTGTCATGTGATCAGCTGTGTTCAATCACAGCTGATTGCATGTACATAGGGAAATGACGGTTATCGGCATTTCTCTCCTCACGAGCTGTCACGCTGACAGCTCGAGAGCAGAGGAGAGCCTATAATCAGCATTCTTCGGAGGGGACATGTACACTGATCATCAAGGCACTGATGATCAGTGTGCCCTGATGATCAGAGTAGCCCCAGCAGTACCACCTGCCAGTGCCCATCAATGCCAGTTGTCAGTGCTCATCAGTGCCACCTGCCAGTGCCCATCAGTGCCACATCAATGCCCACATATCAGTGCCTACCAGTGCACATTAATGCCAAATATCAGTGCCCATTTGAGCTGCCTTTCAGTGTCACCTATCAGTGCCAGTCAGTGCCACCTGTCAATGCCAGTCAGTGCCACCTATCAGTGCAGCCAATCAGTGCCACCTATCAGTGCCAGTCAGTGCCGCCTATCAGTGCCAGTCAGTGCCGCCTATCAGTGCGCATCAGTGCCGCCTATCAGTGCCCATCAGTGTCGCCCATCAGTGCCACCTAACGGTGTCAGTCAGTGCCATCTAACAGTGCCAGTCAGTGTCACCTATCAGTGCTGCCTATCAGTGCCATATATGAATGCTGCCTTTCAGTGCCCATCAGTGATGCCTGTCAATGCCCATCAGTGCCACCTACTAGTGCCTCCTCAACAGCACCCATCAGTGCCACCCATCAGTGCACCCTATCAGTACCCATCACTGCAGCCTCATTAGTGCACATCAGTGAAGGAGAAAAATCACTTATTTACAAAATTTTATAACACAAACTAAGAAAAAATAATAAAAAAAAAAAATTCAGAAGTTTTTGGTTTGTTTAGCAAAAAATAGAAAACCCAGAAGTGATTAAATACCAAAATAATGCTCTATCTGTCTCAAAAAAATGATACAAATTTCATATGGGTACAGTGTTACATGACCGCACAATTGTTATTCAAAGTGTGACAGCGCTGAAAGCTGAAAACTGGCCTGGGCAGGAAGGGGGTATAAGTGCCCTGTAGGCTAGTGGTTAAAGTGCAAAGACATTTTTATAAATCCTCAAATGGAATTTATATGTAACATTCTCTGCTCCCCTAGTAAATCAACTAAAGTGTTGTTTGTATGGCCAGCCAGCCACAGAAGGTGATTTGATGTTTTTCCATAAACTTGCATGCTCAAATTACCATCTTTATACCTACAGTACATAGGGGAAGAGGTTGTCCTCAGAGGATTTCTATAAGGAAAACACTAGTAATCTTCTACTGCAAATCCAACATGGGCACTCAGTTTCTCCTGTTGGTGAGGGATCAGGGGCGGACTTGCAACTCATGGGGCCCCCGGGCAATAGGGGATCATGGGGCCCCTGTGTCCTTGCCCAAACTCAAAAAAGCCTATGAAAAAGGTACCAGGGGCATCTCATGGGGCCCCCTACTGACCCCGGGCCCTCGGGCAGTGCCCGAGTTTCCAAATGGTCAGTCCGCCCCTGTGAGGGATGACTGTAGAAGTCAAAAGATGTTCAAAGCTGGCATACTTAAAAGATAGGTTCACTGTTGGAACATGTTACACATTCCACCTGTTTGTATTGTGGAATATGTAACATGCACTCCCAGAGCCACCGACCGCTTCACTGCATCTAGTCACAGACACCACTAACTGTCACTATTTAAAAACAATTAATTCTATGAATGGAAAACTACAAGTACCAATATCTTTTGCAGCAGTTGGCTTGTAGTTCTCAGCGAACTACCATGGTGCTGTTGAGCACTGTGGTAGTTCATTGATTCTTCCTTTCAGTGTTTATGTGTTTGCCTTAATGGGGTACATGCTGGAGTCTGCAGGAATCATACATGGCACCTGCAATCTGCTGATAGTAAAATAAATAATAAATGGTAATTTTTTTAACCTGCACAAAAAGTGCATTTATTTTTTTTTTTTTTAAAAGGTGAACTTTAAAGCATAATTCAACCACATGAGTAGATTGTAAGGTAAAAGATAGTATTCATGTGCATACCTTTGGTTTCATTGACCATTTTTTTCTCAAGCTTTTTCACCGTTGTTTCTATGAAAGACAAAAAAGCAAAACATTTAAATAAAAATCTAACATTTTTAAATTTAAAATAAATCTTCACAATAAATCATAAGCACGTGATTTTTTTTATTCAATATAGAATGCTTCAATGTACTTTTATTTATATACAATGTCTGCTGCTTTATTCACTACATTGTATCTAGGCTAACATGGTTCAATTACTTTTCTATGTGGTTACATTGGCTGTCTTTCTTTGGTTCTTTTGATCCTTTTTCATGTATTTTTATTCTTGTAGCTAAAATTACCCATATACATCTGTTTTAGATCTTTGCATAAAACTGCATAAAATCTGCTGTTGATCAGTTTAACTGTCTTGGTAACACGCAGCAGTTTCTCCGGGCCCCTTATTATGGTGTAAAGAGTGTAGATGATATGAACAGTGTAACAGGCATCAGTATGCATACAGTCAGAACTGATCCACTGCAGATGCTAGCTCATTGGTGGTACACCTGGCTCTTACTAACGTAGAGAATAAGGATTCTTGTTTTAGACTTTTTAATTATATTATAGTTTCACCTTCAATAATATTATTCTGCAAACCCTGATAGAAAAACTACGGTAATATTGGAATGAGCTCAATTGTGTGCAACTGGGTACTAGACTATTTAACATTTAGGGCCCCGTCTTTTAGAATTCACAATATTTCATTGTCTTGCATCATCTTCAATACCAGATCCCCCCAGGGATACATCTTGAGACCCTTACTGTACACACTGCAGACCATTGCAGAGCAAAGTATCTGAGCAATCATATTATGATGTTCGCAGAGGATACCACACTAGTGGGACTTATCACTCATTGTGATAATTCCATAAACAGACAGGAGGTGGAGGATCTTGGGAATCTGATGCAAATTTAACAATCTCTCCATTAACTTAAAGTAGACTAAGGAGATGATTGTGGACCTAAAGAAATGTGGCACTTAGACCACTCCAACCACATTGGAGGTGCAGCTGTTGAGAAGCTCCTTTCTTTAAATCTTTGGGGGAGTACATCTTTTATTATCTCACCTGGAGAGTCAATACAGCCAGTCTGGTAAAAAGGCATACGAATTTCCACCTCTGTCATTGTTCTTATTACATGACAGCCAGTGATGCTCTTATAATCACTCCCTCATGCTCAGAACTTCCAAGCCCCCTAATTAAGCTCCAAGGGGCAGAGTGAAACATGTTGGGGGTGTGGCCTGTCTGGAGTCCTGGTTGAGGCTGCAATTCATCTCACCTCATGTGCATGGGTCTGCCTTTGACATATGGCTTATGGATCTTTCCTTCGGACATTGCTGAAGCTTGAAGCTAGGACGAGCTCCCTATCCCTGCTAGCACTCACAGTTGTCTAGTTTTGACTTCACCTCCTTACCTCAGAGACACCTAATCTTTTCTTTTTGGGTCATAGATGCAGCTGGGTTTATTTAACCAAATAGCAATAATTCTTAGCATATACAATACGTATACATTGTAATACACTTTACTAAATCCATGTCTTTGTACATTGTCTTTGATGTCTTACTGAACAAACCTCATTGAAGCAGCTAATCAGACACCAATTACAAGTGGCACATGTGACGATACACAAATGTGTGCTCTTCTACCTACCATTGTTCATCAGAGATTCTCTTCCAGTTTGGGTGATGGTATACTACTTTTTCTTGTTTGCCTACATTTTTTTAATTATGGTTGTTCCATGTACATTATTTCAGATATCATTATTTAGTGCGTATCTTTATTTTCTTTTTCTAAATCTAAGGGGGTGTTGACTTAAATAGTTTAGGGTATGTATATAATAGTAATAGACATTTTTCTCTTGGGTGCTATTTGTATACGTCATAAATTTACTAGTGTGGTTGTTTCTAGGTATCCTGTTTGACAATGAATTTGAGTATTAACTCAAGTTTTCAGTTTTAGTTATATGGTTAAATGTGTGATTTCTCAACTAATTATACTCTCAGCCATATAACTAAAAAAAATTAACACCTGTTGCAAGACTTTTTGCAACCTGGTGACCAGGGGCGGACTGACAACTCATGGGGCCCCCGGGCAATAGGGGATCATGAGGCCCCTGTGTCCTTGCCCAAACCCAAAAAAGCCTATGAAAAAGGTACCAGGGCATCTCATGGGGCCCCCTACTGACCCCGGGCCCTCGGGCAGTGCCCGAGTTTCCATATGGTCAGTCTGCCCCTGCTGGTGACTAAATTATGTAAAATAATTTACATAATCCCATCATGTTCTTTGGCAATCAACATCTTACCTGACCCAATCCTTAATACTGCGGTGATTGGATTAAGGTGACTGAGCTGGCCATAGGGGTATAACTGCTGGGGTATGTTCCTCACATTCATCTAAACTAAGGAAGCCACTGGATGTCTTCATCATTGCTAAACAAGCCCAGTTCAATGTGACTAATTACTACTATATTTCTCATTACAGATGATATTACAAATAAAATACAACCTACTACTACCGGTTATTAAATTCATTGCTTTTCACCCTTTACCTTACAAATACTGAAATTCTATTTTTCATCCCAAAGTATCACTTAATTCATTATACGGTACACTGACCTTTACAGAATGTTAGGCTGAATGTATCTACTTATGAGATTTTTCAAACACTTTAAAATAAAACCAGTTTATAAATTACCATTTTTGACTTTTGCTGGTTCTTTTCCCAGCTCTGTCGCCGGTTTAACTAGTAAAGACAGAAAGAACATAAATAAATAAATAAATAAATATTCAGCCATGTAACCTCCTAGGACCAACACATATCTAAGAACAAACATTATATTATTAAATTGCAAGGAAATATAACAAGCAACAAGCATAACTAGACAGAGCAGGCAGTATGTATGCCTTCTAGCCATTTTTTCTATAACTTTTAACAATGTAAACAGCACTTCTTCCAAGGAATAGTAGGACATTGTTTGTTACCTAGTGGATATTCAATGCTGACTGCAAGACCAAGTGTCAACCAACATTTCCATGACCTGTGAGAAGGTCAACAGACAATGAAATCAACCCATGAGAAGGTCAAATGACAGTGAAGGTCTAGTAGGAAATCAGATACTGACCAACTTCACTTAGAATTGAGAAATATGCTTTGAGAGGAGCTAATCTTACAGACAGAAGAGTTTGGGCAAAGACAGAGAGAAAGCATGGTAGATATATAATTAAAGTGTATCTAAAGCCTGACCTATTTTTCCATTTTGGATAGAGTAGGGAATAAATAATACAAACCAAATTTCTTTGCGCTAGCAAAAACAGAAAATAAATAAAACTGCTGCATCCACTACACAATCTAGATACAAGATGTAAAACAACTACTTCAAAAAATGGATGCCCTGTCTCTTAAAAATTCCAAAGTGCAATTGTGCATACAATATAACTAGATCAAACCATATTATTATATAGAAAAAATTGATAATGTGAGCTTAATATGTGCAATAAACCTAAATAAATATAAGGAAAAAATCACCAAAAAAAAGTTGTGCCAAAACACCATACTCAACTTTCAAAAAAAAAAACCTAGAAGACTGTATATCCGTACAGATGGACAATGTGTGTATGGACAATAATACGCTAGATGCCTACATATGTGAAAAACATGCAAACTTAAAAGGTGTATGTGATATAACCCAGCACTCCACTCTCAAAATATAAAAATACATTAAAAAAGGGTATGAATACAGATGGACAAATGTACATATGGACAAAAGTTAAATGAACATGCATACATACAAATATATTATTCAATATTGTAAATAAAGTTAAAGATGAAAAAAGCAAATGTGCAAAATGTCCATACAGATGAATAAATATCCTGGTTAACAGTCCAGAATCAAGTTGGAAAATCCTAAAGGAAAAGAAGACACACTTCAAAGTATAAGATGGAGAGCATTCACTGCTGCAGGAAAAGAGGGTGCCAGGAAATCACACCACACCAAAACAAGGGCAGGGCCAAACATGTGCCAAACATGTGACGCTATTATGCACGCTGGCGTAATCCGGTGATGCTCATTGTTTGTTATATGCTTGAAATTGTCTTCTTTTTTTTATTTATTTGACCCCAGCATAGAAAATCGGTCATTCCTATGCGAAACAACATTTTTCATGGTTGTTCAACCAGATTTTTTCGTTCACACTGTTGTTATTGGTTAAAACATCCTGCTCATCATTGAAGAGAAAATTGTTCAATCAGTGGTTCCACAAAATTTTTTGTACGATTTATCATGTCTACGTGGCATTACTCCATATGGCAAATTCAATATTGGTTTTAATTTAGATCTGGTGGGAAGGGGGGGGGGGGGTGGGGGGGGAGTAGGGGGTGGAGAGATCAGCTGCTCCAAAGTAACATGTTACATGTTACACCCTAAATAGGGGTATAACATGTAACATGTTACAAAAGGTGAACGAATCCTTTACTGCTATGTGCCTACCCTACCATGAGAATGAAGAATAGACCTATACAATATAAGTGCATCAATAAGGCACTGTTTATAAAGCGCTGTTTATTTACTGAATGATTAGAGAATGGTCATTTTAATTATTCAATCAAGTGCAAAATTCTCTTTTTTTTTTAATTATTCTTCACAAGATTATGTAGTCAGAGTGGGTGCAGATTCACTTTCTAAAATAAACTTTCATTTTTCGAAATGAAAATTATCTACTTCCTTAGGGCTCATGCACATGGGTGCCTCGGACCATACAACATAAAACTCAAGCATATTTCCCTGCCTAGTAGCCAAAAATGCTGTGTATAGTCAATCACAGAAATCAATGAGTATACGTGGGTATACCCTGTTTCTTACTCTCCAGGATGCAGACAGTCTTAGCCCCAGTGGACAAAGTAAATCAACCTCTATATGAGCTGAAAATTAAGGCAGTGCAGATTTTAGTTTTGGTAAAGCACTACTGCTCTGTCTGTAGAGCCATTTTAAATGTAGGACCTGCCTGTTCTGTAATTTGTCACTGGGCTGTCACTCTGGAATAAAGAAAGGCAGGAGTATTTATAAGAAATATGTATAAAAAAAGGGGTTGTTTGAAATTCATCTTGGTGAAGCAAGGATGTGAGGGTAACATTCTTCACTGGTGTTCCTGAAAATGGAAAATCCTGTTTGTTACGTTTTGTCATTTTATTTTTTTGCAAAAAAACCTCAATCCTGAGTGAACATTCTGTTTTTGGGCTGTAAAGAACTGTTCACTGTGTGCTAGTCTATGCCTAACAAGTCTGGTATGGCTTTTAGGGGTAACCCCATGCATTTTTTTTATTTATTTTATTACTGTGAAGTCCCTCCTAATCTTCCTACCAGACCTAAAGGGTCTGGTATAGATAAGGGGGGGACCCCACCTTTTTTTTTTTTTTTAAATAAAAATGTCACCTGCTGCAGCAGGTTCTGGGACTCGAACTTGAGAACCAAACAGGGGGGTGCTCAGGCCATCACTATCTATTAGACATTGTTATTGGACTGTGATCAGTGTGCTACTCCATGTCCCTAGGGCATGTCAAAAAAGAGGATTGGGTGTGGCTTGAGTTGGCTGGGTTAGATGCTGCCCTGAGTCCACAAAGGCCATGCAGGGGGGACATCCACTGGCTCCATCTCAGATGAACTGGGACTGTGGCTGTTGACTAGGGAGCCCTAAAAGGATCACCCTCTGTACATCTCTGGGCTTGTCTTGGGGTTCAGAATCTGCCTGTGACTGTGTCCATTCCATGGAGATCTAAGAGTACCTGAGTTCTGAGAGTAAGTCTTATAGCTCTTAGAACTAGATATAATACTTCATTGCCTCTGAAGTGAGAATAGCCTGCCTTCCAATGAATTTTTACATGTCCCATTTAGTTATGTCAGGAACTAGTTTAGAAACTTCATTGTGACAGTTTTAGAATTTCATTTGGAATACAGAAAAGTATGGTAGTTTTATTTATAGAGGTAGAGTAAATGTCAATACAGATTATACAGTCTAAAAATAGCAAAAATTATTTACTTGTGGACTAAATTAAAGTTATTACAACTGCCTAGGCGCCTGCTTTAAGTTACTATATCCTTGCACTAGCTGGAATACATTAATGTGCTTACCTGTCGTTGTTTTCGCTGGTGCTTTTTCAGCTTCTGCCACTTGTTTTTCTAAGAAAAATAAGGACAATATTTTTTTAATCTATATTGTTTATCCCCAGGTTTTTAAAAAGTCAGACATTCAAGTAAAGAAAATATGTAAACTCTGTTTGGGAGGGTTACGAGAAAGGGAAACTGTTGCTTTTCCCTCCATTTATTTTGCTGAAAAATGTTAATATATGTAAAACTCTGATCATCTAATAGAAACAATCTTTCCATATTAGGACTGGATTTTACAAACATCTATTTCATTGGGTTACTCTACAGTTATGATTGTTTCTAAAAGAGTTCCAAATGAAAGCTTTCCAAATGAAAGTGTTGAAATGGGGCTGCACGCTGTTAATGTTAGCCATTAATAGTAACAATATGTGCTGATGCCAGTTCTTGGATTTTTGTTACTGTAGCTAGTGTTAACAGCGTTCGACCCCCATTTCAACAATTGGAGATTTGCTATAGAGTCAGATGTGCTTTTCTAGAGGACCAGCATCTAGCAGCAGTAGTTTAGGCTAGCGGGCTACATATGCAGTGTCTTTTGAGCGGTGCTTTTTCTTATCTGGATCCATCCATCAAAACAGATTGTTACATATGAAACCTATTTTTCTTGCAGTTTGCAGTATTTTGTTACTATCATTACGTGACAAATGGGTCATTGCTAAATTTTAAATTATACCAGACATCTTTACTTCTAGCAGCCAATGACATGTAGAATACAATATATAGTAGTACAGTACTTATATATGATATCCAAATGTAAAAATCAAAGAACACACAAGACAGTAGAAAAAGTATTCATGTGGAAATGGTCCTACACTTTCCAAACTAATTTACTTGAGAATAGACCTAAGAAAGATTATTGCTGTTACAATGTGACTTTTTTATTTTATTAAAGACATTCATTTTTATTGGATATTTATGTAAAAACTGTCCAATTTCCTAGCTTATTTTATGAAAACAAATTCTGGATTTAGGCAGCAAACTTTATGAAGCCAATGGATGTCTATTGTGCAAAACTGCTTCAGAATGAAAGATAAAAATAGGGCCGTTTCCAGAGAACAAGTGACCATATTAATTCTGACAAAGTGCAACTGGTACATGCCTGACCATGAGCTAGTTTTTTTAATTGAAATCCTGGACAGCTACAGTAAGCAAGTCTGCACCAGGTTTCAAGGTTGATAGGCTCCTTTAACTTTATTTTACATCAATAACAGTCCACCATGGGGATGGGCATCCTTGCTGGCCAACAGTGAGCCTGGGTTCACACCAATGCAGTACGGAATTCACAGCGTTTTCTGTGCAAATTCTGCACTGCATCAGAATCGCATCCCATTCATGCGAACAGCTGCTGATGTGTATGTTAAGTTAACAACACCCCCCGAAATTGGGCTGCAAAACATGGTGCGATGTGCAGAATCTGATCGCATAGGTGTGAATACCAATGCAATCCAATTCTAGTGCCGACCAAAAAAAGGGTCCTGCACTTTTTTGGTACGGATGTGGTGCGATCTGAGCTATACAAAATGTATGGCTCCAATCACACCACACACAATTTGCATGTGATTTGCACAGGAATGCGGTGTGGTTCCTGTGCGAATCACATGTGATGTAACCAACCGCATATGTGAACCCGGGCTGAGGTGCAGGATATGGAAGCAATGAGATCCAGGCTCCCAACCAAGAACACTAGTCCAAATATGACAACCATTATGACCTGGAAATCAGAGCTCTGAAACTGCTCAATAAAAGCTAAACTGATGCCCAAGCATTCTGGAAGTACATCCTGTTACATGCCAGGTGCACTTTACTAATTTTGTTATGACTATAGGTATGCTTTAACATAATATCAAAAATAAAAGAATAAAATGTTCTCTGAAATGTAACATCTCAGTAATTCTTTTAGTTGACACCACTTTTTGTTAGAATTATAGAAGATTTCTAATCATTATCGAGATAATTATAACCTATCTACAACAGCACAGCTTTTTTATCTTTCCTATAATCATGAAAATGTAATTAACTGTGAAATTATACTGACATTTGGTGAAACCACATTTCACAGTACTAAATTAAAGAAGACAATATTTATTAACCGCTTGCCCACTGACCTATAGTAGAAATACTGCTACAGGGTGGCAGGGCTTCTCAAAAGCTCATATATATACGTAATTTGCATTTCCGGGTAGGGGTTGTGCACGCCACACCTCCTTACCCATTGGCGGCTATGGGTGTCGATCACTGGGTCCCAGCTGGAGATTTTCCTCCGGCACCCGGCGATCGCCAAGTACAGCTGAAAGGGGAGAGACCTGTGTGTAAACAACACAGGTCTTTCTCTTGCCAGCAAGGACATGCTGCTTTGTATTTCTCTGCACAGCAGTAGCTACATATGTCACACAATTCATAAATAGGCAACTTATACTAACAATATGGAAGTTAGCCTCATACTTATCCACAGTGCTGTATGTGCGCTGGAATGTTTTGTAATAAAATGATGTAGGAATACATTTTATCTGAATGCAGTGTGTTATAATGTGTGGCAATGCCTTGCCACTCACTGCAACACATAGAGCTGAATAAAGGTAATTTACAACATTTTAAAAACATCAAACACTGTGATGCATTGTAGCAATGAACTGCAGTACAAGTGCACACACATTATACACACGATAATGCATGCCCACTAGTGTGAATGGCATTGCACCAACACATGTAATATGCACTACCACAATGGACATGTAGGTTATGTGTAATTTGTGTAGGGAACAGGGGCAGACTGACCATTTGGAAACTCGGCACTGCCCAAGGGCCCGGGGTCAGTAGAGGGCCCCATGAGATGCCGCTGGTACCTTTTTCATAGGCTTTTTTGAGTTTGGGCAAGGACACAGGGGCCCCATGATCCCCTATTGCCCGGGGGCCCCATGAGTTGTCAGTCCACCCCTGGTAGGGGAATTCTATTTATTTATTCATCTATTCTTTTAACTGTACATTTGGGGGGAAGGGGCCTTTTGGGAAATATCAGGGGTCTAAACAGAAGTGGTGCAGATTCATGTCATGATCTCCTCTTTGCCAATCACAGAATGCCTTGCATTCTGTGAAAAATGTAAACTGTTTTCTGAATAGAAGAGGTGTTGAAAGAGAAACCTGCTATGATCTGTGTACTACAGCCAGATCTGTAAGTGTTGGCACTTGCTGTACTGTGCAAGCTGAATGAAAGAAAATTTCTCCTAACATAGCAGTAGCCACACATGTCACCCAATTCATAAGTGGTAGTTTATTTTTTACAGTGCAAATAATTTTGGATTAGAGTTCAGCTTTAAAAAATAACATACTGTATAATATTGATTTACATTTGCTACTTAGCATAATAAATATAATAGGAAAATATGTAGACAATCACAATACATTCTCTATTTTAGCTTTGTATGATAAGTCAGCTTTAATTAAAATTCTTCTTATTTAACGGTGCATTTGGTCATTCCTTTTATGTGTTATAACATTTCATCTTCTTTCTTTTTTTTTTAATTTTTTACCTTCCTTAGGTTTTATTACTTCCTTTTCATACTTTTTAATCTGTGATTCTGAATAAAAGCACTTATAAATACAGCTGTTGTGTGAAGCCCTCAGAGGTTTGTTAGAGAACATTAGTAAACAAACAGCATCATGAAGGCAAGGAATACACTATAAAAAATCCCAACCTTTGAACATCTCATGGAGCACTGTTCAATCTATCATTCGAAAAATGGAAAGAGCGTGGAGAATAACCTACCGAGACATGGCCATCTACTTAAACTGACAGGCCAGGAAAGGAGAGCATTAATTAGAGAAGCAGCCAAGTGGCCCATGGTAACTCTAGAGGAGCTGCAGAGATCCACAGCTCAGGTGGGAGATTCTGTCCACAGGACAAATGTTAGTCGTGCGCTCCACAAATCTGGCCTTTATGGAGGAGTGGGAAGAAGAAAGCTATAAGAAGTTCCTTTTGCAGTTTGCAAGAAGCCATGTGGGAGACACGGCAAACATGTGCAAGAAAGTGCTCTGGTCAGATGAGACCAAAATTGAACTTTTTGGCCTAAAAGCCAAAAAGCCAAACTCTATGTGTGGCAGAAAACTAACAATGCACATCACCACCATCCCCACTGTGAAACATGGTGGCAGCATCATGTTGTGGGGATGCTTTTCTTCAGCAGGGACAGGGAAGCTGGTCAGAGTTGATGGGAAGATGGATGGAGCCAAATACAGGGCAATCTTAGTAGAAAACCTGATAGAGTCTGCAAAAGACCTGAGACTGGGGCGGAGGTTCACCTTCCAGCAGGACAATGATCCTAAACATACAGCCAGAGCTAAATGGAATGGTTTAGATCAAAGCATATTCATGTGTTAGAATGGCCCAGTAAAAGTCCAGACCTACATCCAATTGAGAATCTGTGGCAAGACTTGAAAATTGCTGTTCATAGACGCTCTCCATCCAATCTGAGAGAGCTTGAGCTATTTTGCAAAGAAGACTGGGTAAAAATGTCACTCTCTAAACTAGTAGAAACATACCCAGAAAAACTTGCAGCTGTAATTGCACAGAAAGGTGGTTCTACAAGGTATTGACTCAGGGGGGCTGAATACAAATGCACACCACACTTTTCAGATATTTGTAAAAAATATTGAAAACTATTTATCATTTTCCTTCCACTTCCCAATTATGTGCTACTTTGTGTTGGTCTATCACATAAAATCCCAATAAAATACATTTACATTTTTGATTGTAACATGACAAAATGTTGAAAATTTCAAGGGGTATGAATACTTTTTCAAGGCACTGTAAATGTAACTGACCAAAATAAGTAAAATAAAAATAATCAATGTATGGTATATACAAATAACACAATTTTACCTTTACTTTAGCTAAAATACACTTATACTACAATAGTTTGTGTGGAGTGGTTTCTTATGCTGCCTGGATTATGACATGATTAGCGCATTGGAGCATGGGAATGCTTGCTATCAATGCAGAGGCTACCAGCACAATGTTAAAGCTAATTTTCAGGTTTAGTGTTAAGCATAGTAGAAACTAGGAGAACACTTTAAGGGTTATGTGTTGGATAGGGAGGGAGAGGGAGGCCTAAGTGTTCATTTTAGGGCTTAGTTTAAATGTTAGGGTAAGGGAAATATGTGTTTAAGATAGGCTTACTTTAGAGCTATGTAATAATGTATATGGAAGCTTACCAGTCATTAAATGAGGTGGCAGTATTCGTTTTCTTTTTTTAGACATTTTTTGTCGAACATGTCTGCCTTTGTTCATTTTCATTACATTTTCATTACATAGTGATAATGAGATTAGTAGTTTATCCAAATAACATGTGAGATGGGGAAACAGCTCTCATTTTTTGAATACTGCTTGTGTGGAGTAAATTAAATGTTTTGACTGACATTCTGCAGTTTAGCCACAAGATGTCACTGTTTTTCTAACACAGCCTCAGACTGCATAGATATTTCTATATTCATGAAGAGATGGAGTTTTCACACAGAGTTGAGGGAACAGGAAGAGGAGAGAGAGCAGCCATGTTTAGAGGATGGTGAATGCAGGGGCCGTGTGAGCTGAGAATCTGCTGACATCCAGGTGTGAAAGCATCCCTCCGTAACCAGACCTGCAGCTAAGTGAAGCTGATGAGATTGCTGCCAGGAAGCTGATGAGATTGCTGCGAGGAATGCCGATGAGAGCAGAGGAACTAAGCAACATATACGGCGAGACCGCATGCTTGTTGGAGAGACATTGGTTCTGTTCAGAGTCACCAGCGGATAAAAAGCAGACCCGGGTCGGTAAGATCGTGCACGCACCTAATTTCATTGTTGGCGCCTTGAGACTGAGTCCAGGCCTAAAGTTAATTAGGGTCTCTGTTTGTCAGGTCTTCTTCTTCTTCATCCTCAGCCTACTTCTTCTTCTTCTGCTTCTTCTTCCTCATCCTACTTCTTCTTCTTCTTCTTCATCCTACTTCTTCTTCTTCTTCTTCTTCATCCTACTTCTTCTTCTTCTTCTTCTTCATCCTCATCCTACTTCTTCTTCTTCTTTCTTCTTCATCCTCATCCTACTTCTTCTTCTTCTTCTTCTTCTTCTTCATCCTCATCCTACTTCTTCTTCTTCTTCTTCTTCATCCTCATCCTACTTCTTCTTCTTCATCCTCATCCTCATCCTCATCTTCTTCTTCTTCTTCTTGCCATGGGCCCCTGTACCGCCTCCTCATGCTGCTGCCAGGTCCAGAGTGTGTCATGGGTCCCTGTACGGCCTCCCATTGCTGCTGTCTCCATCGCCACACTCTGCCATGTGCCACTTTCAGGTCTCCTCACACTGCTGGTGGGTTCCATTTTGTCATAGGGTGCTGTATGGCCTCCCATTGCTGCTGCCTCCACCGCCACACTGTGGCTCCACACTCTGGTTTTGGCCCCGTGACTGCCCAAATGAGTGAAGTGTGCGGTGATTCTAAGATCGACGGCACTTATCTGCATGTCATACTGACTGACAGTATTATTTCTCTTCCCCAGCAGACTTCAAGGGCATTTAAATTAAAGGTACAGTGTTCTGCACTAATATAAAGGCTCTCTGAAGCCTAGAAACCCTTTTTATAAGTTAAATTCGCAGCGAATAAATTTGCATCGAATCAAATTTATTCCACAAATTCGGCGAATCAGCCAAATCGAATTTTTGAATAATTCGCTCATCTCTAGTAATAACAGATAAGGTGTGGCAGCTTAGTTGTGCCCGCCAGTAGGTAAATTACTTTACTTTTTACCTTCATCCATCAGAAGGCGCTGTGCTGTGCAGCACAAGGGTCTCAACCTTTGGGCTGGGTGTATGTAAATTTATTGTATGTTTCCAGCATTTGTGGTTGTGTTTATTTGCCACATCTAAGTAAAATTCTGTTGTGGCAAAAGCTGGTGTTGAGGTTGCTTTCCTCGTTCGTGACTTCACTGTATCCTGGGGAGCCCACCCCGGTACACAGCTTACAAACATAACATTGTTTTATACTTCGGAAAATAAATTGATTCACCCATCCACAGGCAATTATATTCAAGCATCTGCAGCACCTGTGGCTGCCTACATACCCACACTTGACTGCATGTAATAGGAAAATTGTCCACCTGGGTTACTCAATCTTTAAATATTTTTTGGCAAGCCAGGTGGTTCTGTCAACTTCAGCTGATTCAATGGGAATCATTCAAAATGCATGTAGTGCATGTAGTGTATGGCCAGAGAAATGCAAAAACCGTAACAGAAAAAACTAATGGGGCTTTTAGGTCCATGTGCCATCATATTTTACAAAGCTCCAAATGGTATAAGAAAGTTCTTCATTGCTCAATTGAGAAAGAAAATGCATCCTACTTTCGTATTATCAACAGCGCTTTAGAGATGTCTGTCATCCCTAAAAACACCTGTGAATTTCTCAATACTAAATGGCCAAGCCTTCCTACATTCTATGCTTTACCTAAGATTCATAAAAACATTCAAAAACCTCCAGGCAGACCTATTATAAAAATTTGATCTATACTCGCTAAAATGCAACTGTTCAAACTTTGAAGACTTTAAACGTGAGGCTGATGCTTTAATACTGCATTTACTGGCAATTGAATATTCCAATAAGATGCTTAAAAAAAGCTTACTCTCGGGCTAATAATCATCCACGTATAGATCTAATTTTTAAAGCCTCCAAACCTGAAACTACTCCTAGTGCTACCACTAGATTAGTCATGACTTACAACAATCAACAACAACCTATTCGCCATAATGTCAGCAAATATTGGTATTTACTGAAGGCAGATCCCAATGTAGCAACTTTTTTAGAGACATACCCTGAAATTACCTATCGTAGAAACAGATCTATTAAAGATGAACTAGTTCAGAGTCATTTTGTTAGACCATCCAAGTCAATTACTCGAACCTACAAAGGCACATATATCTGTGGTAATTATGCCTATTGCCAATATATCTCCCAGGGTCGTAATCATACCTTACCGAATGGAAACATCCATAGGGCACGGCATTACACCAATTGCCAGACGGCAGGTGTGGTCTACATGATGTTATGTACATGTGGGAGTTTTCATATTGGCAAAACTAAACGATGTTTCTGGAAAAGTATCTATGGTCATGTTTCTGCCATTCAGTCAGGTGACATCTTTTCCCCCATAGGAAGGCATGGCACCTAGCATCATGCGAAAAAAACGCTCAATGCGTAAAATTCCTTGCTCTCGAACGAGTCCCTCAATATCCGAGAGGTGGTGACTGGGATTGTATTATACTCCAGAAGGAGGCTTGATGGATACATAACTTGGAGGCTAATCAACCGACAGGTTTAAATAACTCTCTCAGCTTCAAGCCATTTTGGCCGGTCTGAGTTTTTCAGCCATCGCACAAGATTATTTTATTTAATTTTTTTAATTATTATTATTACTTTTGAAGTTGGATGATTTTGTCTCTATCAAAAGGGATAAGTAATTATGTTTATTTATTTTGTTGTTTTATATATATTGTTTGTGGCAGATTTATGTAATATCAACCGATGATGTTTTTTATTCCAGATGTGTATCTGTCGAATAGTTATTCATTCTGCATGTTAAATCCAATTACTACCAATGCCCTAATACTGTGTCTTATTGACCATAGTATTGGCCATTTCTGGACAGTCCTTATTATTGTTATCATTTTGTCTATTATTATATGATTGTTTTGTGGTTTATACTCTGTTTTAGCCCTGGTTGAGGTTTTGGCTCTTTCCTGTGGCCTTTTTTGGTATCACAAGGCCGTCTTGGTGTCTTTGGCTATATTGTTTAACTTGGATGTTTTTTGACATGCGACATCGCTGACTTATGACGTAATGATGCCGACATCTTGACGTCATCACTGTGCATCATCCCATGTGCTCACAATACTTCCTGTTTGAAGTTTTGGCACCAAAATACCACTATTTAAGGTCTACTGACCTTTCAGGCACCAAGGACTACACTGGGGCTCTTGTTTGAGCAGGTTTTGCCCTCTTTTTGTCCATTGCTGGAACTTCTGCTATTTTACCATCCAAATATGGCTAAGCTTTGGTTTCATCACTGAATTTTGATGATTGGTTACTGGCATATGAATTTGCCAAAAGTTACAAATGTAAAATTTCATGTTTTTAAAAGACTGTGGGAAAGGAAACGGATAGAGAAAGGAGAGAAATTGGCAAAAAAAAACCCCAGCTAGATTTAGAAATAGAAATAAGGCACATTAAACAATACTACTACATTTTGAAAAGTTTCACACATATATGCAAAAAACTAAGAGATATAATTACTACCGATTACCTTTTGTTTGATTTGTTACGACTTGTTCTTGTTTCACTGGAGCTGCTAGGAAAGGCAATACAAATGTTTTAAAGCTTACTTCAATTAAATTAGTTATTTTAAAAAATATTCTGCTACATTTATGAAACAGACACTTAAACTAGAGTATTTGTATTCTTACTTTTTATTTGCTCCTTTATTTCTTTTCCAAGCTTTTCCTTTGTTAGCTTTTCAAGTTTTTCTGCTGGTGTTTCTAAAAAATAAAATATTATGGCCATTGGTGCATTAAATACACCTAGCATATGATTTAAAGAATACTTTTTGACAGAAAGCGAAATCAGTCAGTGAGCTGGTAATGCTATCCACCATGCACTTAAAGTTCACTCAAGAGGGCGCATGCGCGGGCCCGGCAAAGCGGATGGTCACGGTCTGAGACCCGCTCCGTCCCGCCGTCACTGAAATAGCGGCACTCACCGAAGCTGAGGATATCCAGCACCACAGGATCACTCATGAAGGGTGTGCAACCCTTCACAGCCATGCCTCGTCGCCGCAAAACCCCTGGATCACCAGGGAAACTGACGAGCTTCTTCCCGGCCGTCTCCTCTGAAATCCAAGATGGCGCCGGCTCGTCAGACAGGCACAGCAGCACGAGGGGAGAGAATGCAGCCCTGCACACAGATCCACGCCTGAGAGCTCATCTATACCCCGGGGACCCGGGTGAGTCATCTCCCCCTCTATCACCTCCATTATCCCCTACTACATGCAGCCCTGTGAAATCTAAGCCAAGGCTAGATATGGATCCTGACAGTGTAATTCTACCAAGTGTATTACCTATATTGCAAGAAAATAATACACCCTCACTGATAGAATCATTCCCTGTATCTGATCAACCGATCACGGAGATTAGTATGAAAAATATGCTACTTTCTTTGCGTCAGACACTACATAATGATATTACGGCTTCCTTAACCCAAATCTCGCATACAATGCAACGACAAGATACGAGAATACGCCATATTGAAACAAAAATGGAAGATATGATAACAGCTCATAATGATATGATTGACGCACACACAGACCACTCGAAAGATCTTGAGCAAATTAAGTTAAAATTAGCAGATCTTGAAGATCGCTCGAGAAGGAATAATGTCAAATTCAGAGGCATACCAAAAACCATTACTACTGATACTCTGCTCCCGTACATTCAACAATTTATGAAACACCTGCTCCCCTCCATCTCGGAGCAAGAGATGGCCATAGATCGGGCACACCGGATACCCAAACCATCTTTCCTCTCAGCATCTATCCCGAGAGATGTTCTAGCCCGCATTCACTTCTACCATGTGAAAGAACGTATGATGGCCGCTGCCAGAAACCCGCCACCTCTCCCGCCATCCCACACAAATATCAAATTGTATGCTGATCTGTCAAAGGATACACTACTCAACCGTAAAAAATTAGTGTCTGTTACCAAGGCGCTCCATAACCACGGCATCAGCTATCAGTGGGGATTCCCTACTAAACTAGTGGTTAAAACACCACGGTAGAATTTTCACCATTAAATCACTGGAATCCGGCATTGACTTACTACAATCTTGGAACATAATACCAGTGGATCCGCCACGCTCTGCCCACTACAACCACAAACAAATGGAAGCAGAATAACCAAATCTCTGGGTACCTTTATCAGGTCCTATTGTGACCCCTCAGCCGAATGAACACTATTATTTGAAACACTGACATACGGCCTTAGTTCACTAATGACTCGTTTCAAAGTCTGGCATGACCTTGGCTACGGTCAACGCCAACCTGCACCCCCTTGTTTGACAGTAGCGATTATTGCTACTCATGTTTCTTGCGTTATTTGCAAGATTTTTTTACCCCTTCCTACCTATCCAATCCCCGGAACCACGAGCTCGTCTGTTCCTCCTCATAACCAAACACATGATGAAACATATCCTTTGCAATTTTTTTTCAGTAGCCACTATATCAATATTCTGAAAACAACTAACATACTTTATCAAACAGTCCACCACCAACACTACAAATGATTAACCTCACTTCTCTGAATGTACGAGGCTTGAACTCTCCCTTTAAAAGATCTATGTTGTACAAAGAAACCCGCAAACTCCATGCTGATGTCTTGTTCCTACAGGAAACACACTTAATGTCTTCTAAACTCCCAAACTAACTATGCACGGCTTCTCCCATATATACATGGCTAATAACCAGAAGAAAAAAAATGGTGTCGTCACAGCCATTAAGGATTCTATACGATTTCAGTTTATCTCTGAGTTGGCGGACCCCCAAGGTCGCTTTCACATTCTAATCGGCAAACTCAATGATATCCCATACACTCTGGTCAATGTATACGGCCCTAACCACCAACAGATGAAATTCTACAAAAAACTCTACTCTACAGTCTCTCCTATATCACAGGGTAGGCTTATTATTGGAGGGGACTTCAATATCATTGGAGATACACTTCTGGACTCATCTTCTACTAAACGAACCCCCAATTTGAGTTTCAACAACTTCCTACACACTCATGACCTATATGATATCTGGCGTTGCCAACATGGATCGGAAAGAGACTACACATATTTTTCTCCAGCTCACCTGTCATATTCCAGAATAGATTTTCTCATTACGGACAAATGGACTCTTCAACATGCAACGTCATCCACTATCGGTAATATAACCTGGTCGGACCATGCTCCAGTCACCATAACTCTTGACGACACTCACCAGTCTGCAATCCCCCGAATATGGAGACTGAACTCTGTGATCTTGAAACAGCCAGAAAACCAGAAATATTTAGTAGATGCGCATAAGGTATTTTTTGAATGTAATGATACTCCCGATATATCCATTTCCACACTATGGCCTACTTACAAAGCATATATGAGAGGTATACTCATTCAACTTAACTCACGCATAAATAAGACCTGAGCTAAACAAATTGACCAATTACTAACATCCATAAAACTTAAGGAAGACGCAAATAAGAAAAACCCTACCCCCTCCATGTCTACATCTCTCTCCGCCGATAGAAACAAACTCCGCATACTCCTACTACACAAATATGATATAAACTTACAGAAAACAAAAACACGATTTTATTCCCTGGCTAATAAGGCAAACTCACTCCTAATTAAAACGATTAAACAGAAACGCCTTAAAACTAAAATTACCTCTATCCGACACCCTACAACACACGAGTCTTATACGAACCCACAAAATATAACGGAGGCCTTTGCTGATTACTACAAGACACTATACAATCTTGTAGATGATCCAAATACATCTCAACCAACGCCCATTCTAATACAAAAATTCCTCAACAATATACATCTTCCTCACCTTACATCTTCACAACTTGAGTCCGTATCTTCCCCTATAATCCCAATGGAAATAGAAAAAAACCATTCGTTCGTTGCCTCTCAACAAATCCCCAGGTATGGATGGCTTCACTAATGAATTTTATAAAACATTCGCCCCGCATTTAACTCCCTATCTCTCCACACTTTATAACCATGTAGCTGAAAAGGGCACCTTTCCGAAAGAAATGCTAATGTCCATAATAACTACAATCCCAAAGCCAGGTAAAGACCCCCAATTGACTCATAACTATAGACCGATTTCATTGCTAAACACAGACATCAAATTGTACGCCAAAATAATCGCTCAAAGACTATTGCCTTTTCTCCCCCTACTAATTCACCCGGACCAAGTAGGATTCACCCCCGGCCGTCAGGCACCCGATGCCACCAGAAGACTATTATCTCTCCTCCACAAACTTGACTCCACCAAACAACCCTCTATATTCCTTTCCTTGGATGCAGAAAAAGCATTCGATCGTATACACTGGCAATTTATGAAGTCAACACTACAAAAATTTGGAATTGACGGTTGGATGCTCTCCGCAATCCTCTCACTCTACTCCCACCCATCGGCCAGAGTATTGACCGACGGCACACTCTCCACACCCTTTAACATTTCCAATGGTACGAGACAAGGATGCCCCTTGTCCCCCCATAATATTTACATTACTCATTGAACCTTTAGCGGCACGTCTCAGAGATGACCCTTCCTTCACAGGAATCACCCATATAGACAGGGAACATAAAATCAGCCTTTTTGCAGACGATATCATATTAATGATCACAAACCCACAAAAATCTCTTCACGCAATACGGACCCACCTTCAGTCATACTCGCAAGTCTCATACTATAAACTTAATGAAACCAAATCTTTGATTTTAAATCTCCATGTACCTACTAAAATCCAGCAATCATTAAGTAAACAATTTCCCTTTATATGGGAACAACGCAGCATACCCTACCTAGGAATTAACCTCACCTCCTCGTTAGAAAAACTCTATGGGGCTAATCATAAACTTCTCCTAGATTCTATCCCGTTGGAACTAAACAGTTTACGCACATCTACTCTATCCAAACTCAGGAGAATAGCGACCCTGAAAATGTGTATGCTTCCCAAAATTTTATATATATTCCGCACACTTTCTGTTCCAATCCCAAACAACTTCTTTACTAAGCTACAAACAAATTTCGCCAAATTCATATGGAACTCAAAACGACCGAGATATACAACCAATCTCCTAATACGCCCAGTATCCAGAGGTGGTGCAGGTCTCCCACACCTCAAATCATATTACATTGCAACCCTCCTAGATCAGGTTTATTTCTGGTGGCACCCAACCCAAGAAAAGATTTGGTCCACTATGGAAACGATTCCAATGCATTTGAACTCACCTAGAGATATCCTATTTACTCCACGTACACAGCTAACCAATGATATATTTCGTCACCCCTGCATTCAAGCTACTATACAGGCGTGGTATGATCTCATTAATTACCCCTCGATAGACAAGATATCGTTACCCACCCCAATTACCACCCTACACCTGATAATACCTTTCTTGACTCTTACACAATGGCACCGACATGGCATTACACACTTACAACAGCTGTATACAAGAAATACCATTGATTCCTTTTCCACTTTGCAAATAATTTTCATCTCCCTGACTCAGAACATTTTACGTATTTAAGAATTGCACATGCTTTGCACAACACTTCGACTCAAACTCTCATTAACATCCCTACTACAGCATATAATTTCCTAAATAAACTAAAATATCCGCGAAAAGGGATCTCTACTTTTTATACACTCAGTATTAACTCGCAATTTTCTCCACATACGACTTCCCTTAGCAATTGGGAGAAACT